TACCTAACTGGAGACCAGGGTGTTTTCTGGATGCTGTCCATAGAGGTTGCACAGTCTGAGCTGTCACAGGAACTCCATTGATAACCACTATACCAAGTCTGAAGCACTTGCCCGTGTGTTATTTAGAGCTCGGTTTTACAAGTAGTGCACTGCCCCCGGCATTGTTTTAGAGGATGGCTACTGTGACTCTGAATAGTAGCACTAGGACTTGTTCTTTACCTTGTGATTACTGTTGCGTCTGTGTTTCCACTGATTTTTAGTTGCTCACCGATGCTCCTGTATCCTTTCTCATCTTTCGGAAGTCTTACAATCAGGATTTTTCGGTTCTTCTGGCAACTCTTTCTGCACATGGAGCCATGTTCCAGACGTGAAGATAGACACAGCCCATAGGTTAAAAGCTGAGAAAGTTCTGATGGTTTGCTTCAACAATCACAGATTTTCTAACTTGTGTGTCAGCAATCACCAGTGTATTCAATTTGAATCATTTGAATGATATTGCAGAGGTGTCTAATCAGTTCTGTTGTATAGTGTAAATACAAACCTTACATGTTATCTTTACTACACAGATAAACAACTAACCTGGCTCTGTCCAAAGGTAACACATTTTCCTACTTTTAAACTTGGTATGTTTAGCTAGCAGCAGCAGGTTGCAGGTGATAACTTTACGTCTCTTGGATAGACATAAGAGGGGTGTTGATCTTCTCGTCTAACTTGATGCAAGAAGTGAATAAGCGTAAACTTATGAACAAGAAAAATTGCTGTTTCAAGTGAATATGTGCCATGAATTGTGCAACACTATTCACTTCCACAACTTATCATACAACAGTGTCTTAACTGTGTATTGCTCCTAAACATTACATATGTATGTTACCATATTTGAATGTACAAATACACATTAAATAGTATGCATAGTATAAATAAATAAACACCGAACTGATTTTTTCTGTGTGTATATCCTCACTCCATCTGTTAGTGCTGCACAGCTACAAAGGTAGATTATGATACATCACACCAAAATAGAACGGTTTGCTGAGGTGTTAATATGCAGGGTTATGCCAACTCACTCTTTAAACATCCATGCAGTCTTAATTTGTCGTTCTAATGTATCTGGGAGACATGCAACAAGTCAGACTGCCCAGATGAGGCTTTGTTTTCAGGCCAAATAAAAATGTGGCAGTCTCCATGCCTGTGCCAGTGACACTAATGTTGGTCTGAAGATCCTGCCATGAACTCGTCTTTCAACTCTTCTTTTGCTTGGGTTTTTCTTTCTGTCACTTTCTATTTTTTTTCTCTCACCCCTCATCCCCTCTGATGTAAGCCAAGCCCTGCATCCTCTTTTCCCTTTTTATTCCTGCAGCAGCACACACACACACACACACCACACACACATGCACACACACACACAGACACACACACACCACACACACACACACAGACAAGGGGACCAGCCACAGTGACATCACACACTCGCTCCAAACCACTCTGCTCTCCACTCCGCTTTGCTTCACTTCATTTCACTCCAAAAGCCAGCATGTCAACAAAGGCTAGTGGAGGGGACTGCGCCAAAATAATAATGCACACGGGAACCCTGGGCCCACAGCAGGAGATTTTATTTGTTACATGAGCACTTAGCATTCATTATTTAATCGGATACGAGACTCCTGATTACATCAAGAGTTAAAATCAAATAACTCTGCTTGTCTCAGTTGCTATTCACAGTCTCTAATGCATTTTCTGGTACATCCAAGTAAGAGATTGCCGGAGTCCAGACCTTTGAGTCTGTCCAATCCACTGTAACGAGTTGACAATGCTGTCTGATATCAGACAGGGAAGGAGATATTTTGAGGTGCGTATATCGGATAGAGAAAGCCTTTAGGAGCACACAGTTGTAGCCACTGTGGTTACTCCTTTGGCAGTCAGTCAGATGCTCATCTAGTCATAATGGAGAGAGAAGTAGTTCTGGAAATGGAAAGGGCTTCAGTCCCCAGATTCAGCCTTTAAGCTGCTTTAGAGGATTGATGGGTATTTTTTCTCTCCCTCTCTCTAAAAGAGACAGCTGATATTGGCTGTGAACCAGAACAGGAGAGGGCAGAAGCCTTGAACTTTCACTGCGCAGATGCAGACGTGGGGCAGAAAATGGCCAAGCTACTTTGTCTTGGCTTCATAATCCACTCTTGGGAGACACGTGACAGCTGAGACTGCTGCCAGGAAGGTCCTGCTGCTCCCTGCTGGGGACGTCCTGCTACAAGTGGGTATCCGACCCCAGCTGACCGCAAAAGACTGTGTTCAGGTCAAGCTAAATGTTTCACTGAGTATTTCTTCAACTGGTCACAAACACAAATATATAGAGAGAGTTTATGGAGGGGCTGTAGGGTGGAAAGGTGGTTAGTACCGTTGCCTCGCAGCAAGAAGGTCGCCGGTTTGCATCCCGGTGAGGACATTTGGGATCTTTCTGTGTGGAGTTTGCATGTTCTCCCTTTGCATGGGTTCTCCGGCTTCCTCCCACACAGTCCAAAACATGCTGAGGATTAAGCGGTGTATAAATAATGGATGGATGGATTTGGAGAAGTATCCATCCAACCTTAAGTGTGACAAAAATGATCACTTATTTGATGCAAAATGTTAAGGTTTACACAGTTTCAGGAGTTTAGCCATTGGAGTTCATACCTTACAGAAAGGAATGACAGCTGATGGTTAATTGAAATTGCAAGCATAATACGACCTGTGACCTTAAATTGTGCGACACAAATTTGAAAGAAATATAAAGTACATTCAAAAACACTGGTATGCTCCCTCCATGCAATTCAGCTGAGATGAGTAATTCACAAAAGGCAACTATTTATTAATTCAAGGGTACAAACCTATGGTATCATATTACTATATTGTATTTATATTTATCTCTTTTGTAAGAAGTACAACTGTTGGCTTCAAACTGTAAAACATACATCCATGCTCACATATGTACATTAGAATAGAATAGAATATCCTGCATTAATTCATTTTCATTTTTCATCCTGTGTATATATTGTACACATTATTATTGTTATTGTTACTATTATTATTATTATGTATATGTTTGGTGCTGCTGTGTTCTTCTGTTCTTTTTTTCAATTTTGCCGCTGTAACAATGTAAATTCCCCTGGCATGGGGAGAAATAAAGGATTATTATCTTACTATTATTATCTTATTCGTCCCACAAAGGGAAAATATAGGCAAGATACAACCGTACATTGCATTTGACGTCATACATACATACATGCACGCATGCTCAGAAACATTTCAGAGCTGCTATTTAACACACTGTAGATGACCTTCTTTTTCTTTTTTCTTTTTTTTTTAAATCAAGTGTACCAACGATTGTTCTTCACTCTATTTAACCAACAGCACCCACGCGTGGATGATTGATATTGTCGCAGTTGTGTGGATGCAGTTTTGTCACTAACCATGTGGCGGCACTGTTCTACCAAATATTATTCGCCGGATTTTCACGAAAGGTGACGGACACACCCGAGGCGAACCCCGGAAGCTGTGTCGTTACTGGTCACTGTCAGCCCGTTGTTAAAGCGATGTTGCTGCGGATACGGCTGCTATGGGGCTAGAGTTAAACACGAACGAGCTGTCAAAATGTATCGAGAGGGAGTTTCCAGCAAACGAAATTTGGAATATTAAGGTATGTAATTTAGCTGTCACGCACAAAGGCTCAGTTTTCGTACTCGTCGCTCGCCATACAGTGCTAGCATGCTAGTTGTGTTAGCTGCGTTCCGAGGCTAGTTAGCAAGCGAGATTTACCAGCCAGTCCGGTCGCATGTGAAGTGTCAAGCTAGCGAGTTGCTGTGCCCGGTGTGTGCGTGCGTGTGTGTGTGTGTGTGTGTGCGCTGAAGGGTTCAGTTTCAGTCACGACCTTTACAGTTATCATTGCAGCAGAGGGGATCGACCCAGATCTGTGCTTATAGCTTGTTGATGGTCAATGATCGCTTTAGTAGTGTGACCAGGTACACTGATGGCGGATGATAAATGAGAAGGTGGTGAATTGTAGGCTTACACGATGTGAAGAAGGACTCCAATCTCAGTCACAGCTCGCTAACTGTTGATGTGATTCAATTCAGTGTAATGATCTGACACATACCGACATGCTTATTTTCTGCAGGCAAGTGTCTGAGTGTGTTTTCTCGAGTAGAAATGAAGGTTGAATTAATGAATGGATGGGAATCGGCCAAAATGCTTAGTTTTTCAGAACAACCCGGAGGTGGTCGATAGTGTTTGTTTCTTAGTAATGTCGGCATTGTCACTGTAGTTTTGTGGTTTTTGACAAAGACTTGGTCTACATCGAGTAGACAGAACTGATTTACCACCTCAATGTCAGGTTAACGAGAAAGATCAATTATACTATTGATTGTTAGGGAACAAGAAATGCTTGCAGTGTCACCACATTGCTATGAGTAACAAGAATGATGGGTGTGTTTCCTGGAAGTAGAAACGGAACGCTTACAAAATCCTACATGGCACATAGTCCTATTCATTGAGAGAGGAAGCAAGTATTATATAAACTGTGGTGATGTGTGGTAACCGTAGCTGGTTTATTTGGTACACCTCAACTAATGATACACAATCTACCACAACAGCTCTCACAATACATCCAGATCTTGAGAACGATGCAATGTTCAGATTTGCAAAACCATTTTAAAGGTGTGATGCTTTTGAGGCTGTGGTTTGTGATGCTTTTAAACTGAGAAGCATTTCTAATCTTAGTTCTATATGATTTATTGATGGAAATGGTATCAGCAATCAGTACACTTTCATGAAAACACAATCTGCAGCGCTTTAGGCTGAATTATTTTTAAATTAATTGTACTAAATGAACTGCTAAGTGTGTATTGTTAATGTCATATTGTTGCATCTGTGTCCCCTTTAGGTGTCAGCGTACATGCCCGTCTACATGTGTAGTTCATCCTGAATGCTGGTCCAGGAGATACACACCGCAGCATGCTGTTGTGAAGTTGAAGCGTATTAGGTAGGTTTCACCTCAACGTGAATGCCTTTTTCTTTTCACAGCGTTTTCACAGCAGAGTATGTAACAAGGGCAAACAGAGAAAGCGGCTAGCCCTGTGTCATCTGTTTATCTCTTATGCAAAAGCTGGAAGAGTTGCATTCCTCGTTTGGCTCTGGCTAGTGAAAAGGCCTCTCGGGAGACTCTGAGTAGCAGACAGTCTGTTAACAGACAGCATGTACTCGATAATTCATTTCCCTGTATTCTCATTGTTTAAAGAAAAAACCTGAAACACTGAATGCTGATGGTTGATTTATACACGCACTCGTTATGATAGGAGGCAAAGGGAGTTGGGGCATCTTTTGGCTCTTTTTCGTTTTTAGGAAGCGTGACATCAGGTTGGCCATTAAGCTATTTGGTGAATTTGGCAACAAAACCTAAAATCACTTAGTAAATTGACACCCAGTTCTTGTGCATTTTTTGGTCCCGTTGTTTCATCTAATTTTCTTAGTGACTTCGTTTATGATGACTTTGCAACAAAGCGATCTGAACGCAGCGAGGTGACTGCTGGTTGTGTGTTTGTGTGTGTGTTAGGGAGCAGAGATAAGGTACGATAAGGAGAAGGGGGAGAGAAAGGCATTGGTGGCTTTTGTGCTTTGCCCTCTGACTGGGAAGGGCAGACAGCTGGACAAGCAGCTGGTGTGGCTTTAATGGACCTCCCCATTATTGACCACAGAAAAATCAATACTCCTTAAACTGGCAAGAGCATTTTGTGCCCTCTTAAGGACAATGTTGATTTTTTTTTATTTTCTTTGTTTAACATATAAACAGCATGGTATTATCTGTGGGTGTTGTGTGGTAAGTAATAGTGCTAATGTAATTAAATGCACTTATTAAAAATCAAACAGATTAAACAGAGTCAGCAGGTACTCCTAAAAGCTTCTCCAAATAGCATCGCAGACTTGTGTTGAATTGTCGGATTGCTTTTTCCTTCGGAGCACGATGAGATTTTTTGACATTTTTATTTAACTGTCAAATTTCTTAGTCACAGCATGGGCATAATAAGGGAGGGCAGTTTTGTACTTGAACATAAGTTGTGCAAAAACGCCTGCTGACATTGCTCACATTTTCCAGCATTTCCCTTCACCTTCTGGTCTGCTGTCCTGATAACATCTGCTTTGTGAATATCAAACTGAAGTATAACTTCATCCTGGCAAATGTGAAGACTGCCTGTGCCATTGTGTGTGTGTGTGTGTGTGTGTGTGCTTGTGTGTGTGTGTCATTTTTCTTCACTCAGCTTCCCTCGACTGTTACTAATTGCACAGTTTTTTTTAATCAATATTTATTATCTGGCTAAATCTGAGCATGTTTTCATTTTTTTTCTGTCATTGCGGTGTGATTAATTACAGCAAAGCAGCTATATGAGCTGGTTCAATCAGTCATCATCAGTTCTTGAGCTGACTCTTTTCAACCTGAAATTGGTTGTCAGTTTTTCACAGGGTGATGTTCTAAACAGTGGCCTCAGTTATTCTGATGTGTGAAATAGGACTGTCAGCAGAGACAGTGCTTTGCTCCAGCCTTTTGTCCAGCCGTCATCCTTTTACTGAAAAATTTATTTAAGAAGTCTTTTTTTTTCAAGGCAGGGCGTCAGTCAGTGACACACGCTGTCATATCATAATTGAAACTATGGCGACTGTTTACTCTTTTCATTCAGTGGTTCAGACTCTGAGAAATGGCTTCCTGTGTTGCCAGTGTTTGGATGTTGTCAATAGTGTATTTATGAACAAACAAACAAATCTTTTTTAAAAAATGTCCGACTTTCTAACACCAATAGCAATTCATTAATTATCGCTCTAATCCCGGTTAGCTGGAGATACCTCCTTGTCTTGTATTTATGTGGACTTAGATGGACATCTTCTAAGTTCTACATTTTGTGGAACTGCGATATGTCTTGTATGTTATATAGCGGTATGTATTAGTGAGCTAAAGAGGCAACATAAGTGAAAACACCTGTTTAGGTGGACCAAAGGTGTCCACAGGCCCCCGAAATTTTGGCTAAGGCCAAAGAAAAATCCCCAGCACCAACATGATAAGAACTGAGAATTAAAAAAGAGAAAATCTAACCAGTTTTGGTAATTAGAGTTTCAATTACTCAAGCAGAATAGACATTTTTAATTATCAAATGGTCAGAAATACCAGGAAAATGCATATGTTTCTATCGAATACGGCAACACGGACTCATTGCCTTTACTGTACCTACACTGATCATGATTGCTGTTGTGTGTAGTCACCCCTGCAAAGGCCCATTCGTAGTCAGGAGTAACCCTGTGGCTTCGGGTTGTCGTGTACGCTTTGGAGGAAAAACATAATATAAATGTCATGGACAAAAGGCAGCCCAGAGAAAATCAGTTAGATCTCTGCTCTGCTTTCACACCAGTGCAGCGCTTACAATTTTTATATGAAACACAATTGTAAAAAAGCACAGTGATCACAAAACATCTACCAAGGCTTATCATGTTTTTCCCAGTCGTCATCCCCACCCACACTGTGAACTTTAGAAAGTCGTCACTCCAACACATCAACCAGTCTGTCT